TGATTCTGATGAGGATTATGTAGTTACAACATCTTGACATGTTTTTGTTTTTATGCAATTTAGAGTATGAGGGGAGGAGACCTGGCCCTGAGAAGATTGCCGAGTACTTTCACACTTGCGCTCCAGCTAACTAAAACAAGTTTGCTTTTGCTCCAAAGGAGCTGACCTTCAGAGACATAAAAATACAAACTACTGATGCTGGGTGGAGTTGTTTGATTTGACCTGATTTTCTGGAAGTTTATCTTCCAAAAAAGCTAAAACTGTAGAGGAAACCATTTTACCTGCTTGTCATCCTTCCCAAGAAACGCAGAAGGAAAGTCATGGCATTTCTGATTCTTCTGCTCACTTGGGAACTGCTGAGCTTAAAATCTTCTTTAAATTTTACCTGGTTAAGTGTTTGATTTGGAGGGACCCTGGCTTGACTGAGCACGGGATGCATGTGCGATGGTGTCCTGCTTATCCCTGCGTGTTTGCAGAGCTTTTTGAGAAAGTTAAAAGCTGTTTTCTATATCGGACTTGCTTACCGGTTCCTCTGCTGTTCTGGAAACCGGCGTTTTTCCGATCCCTTCCCCGCCGACGGCTCTGCGGAGAGAGGAGCAGCCTTCGGCAGCTGGCAGGGAAAAAAAAGGGGCGGCTGCTGTGGTTCCTGCTCAGCGTGTCGAGAGGGAGAGCAATGCCGCAATGGCTCTAACCTGTTCTTTTGCCCTCGTTCCCCTGCCGTTGAAGCAAATGTAGGATTTTCAGTATGTATGTCTTAGCATTTTTGGTGTTTTTTAAATGAGTGAATATAGGGGACTGAATAAGATGAAGCTTCTCTGAAGGAAAGAATTTGTGCTTTGTAGTCTAGAAGCTGCGCAGACTTGAGAGCCCTATCAGCTCTATGGAAGGTTAAGCCAGAAACACAGCTGGCTGCGAGCTGTCCATGTTTTCATCTACCACAGTGTTTGGTAGGCTCGACTAATATTTTGGTAGGGCTTTTTTAATTTCATTTTAAGTTTGCAGAGCCCTTGGTAGGGGAGGGTGGGGTGTCCTGGCTTTTCTTTTTGATAGAAGGCACTTGACTTGGATCACTTGCTACCTAGGAGATCGGTCTCTAAATGAAACTTTTGTACAGATGAAGTGTTTATTTTCTGAGTAGCTGAAATGCACTGAATTGCCAGGAGCACTACTGAGTGGACTATACGTAGCGCAAAGCTGACCTCAAGCGCACACAAACTGCTCGTTCCCAGTGCTACCAGACCAGTCTTACAGATGAACATCTTTTTGCAACCCGAAGCAAGTGTTCAAAGTATGCACACCGGCGTGCAGACTGAATTTGTAGTGTTAAGCCATATTTGTGATCAAGTTGAGTCCTGTTTTTAGTGCATGAATAACGGCAGTGGCATCAGGACCAGACTATGAAATGTTTCAATAGCTGTATTGTCTGGGCAAGATGTAATGATCAGGTTTGAATAAAACTGAAAGCAATATGTAGTCGCTTTGTCCGATTTAAAAAGAAGTTGCACTCAAGTTTTCAGTTACAGCTTAAATACTGAAGAAGTGGGAGTGAGTTTGTGGGTCATGGTAGTGGGGGTTGCTGTTTACTTTCCCCACCACCAAAAGATTTTTTTTTTTTTTTTTTTGACACGTTTAGCATGAGTGAACGCTAGAGAAGACTTGCAAAGCCTCTGGTACAGTGGCGTCATCAGCTACCTTCATTAAACCAGTGTTATGACACCCATTTGAGCAGGACTTAATAAAACTTGTAGCTCTTGCTCTTGGGCTTAGCTTCCTTGCTGCTAACTGGAAGGGTCCGCAGGACCC